TATTCGGCAGACAAATGTTTACGACTCTGGGGACGGGAATGAAGTGGAGTGGGGGATTCTGGGAGTTATTCACGTCAATCAGCACTTTGTTTTCTCTGCTGTGGATCCGGCGCGAAAGTGCCGGCGGCGGCCGACGACGAGCTCGTATTCTCCGCATGTGTCGGGCCCTGGATGGTGATGTGGTCGGAGCTCTATTGCGCAGAGACCGCGCCACGTTTGTTGAAACGCTGTGTCTGACCGGCTTTCTACAAAGCCAGCTGCAGTGTACTCTAGCCGCACATGGGGGAGCAGAAATGGGGAAGAGCTTTTGTTACCAAATCGGGGTGGAAAACAGGTACGTTGGTCGGGGAGTGGTCGTTCGTCCATCGAGTTCTCTCGCAGGGGGAACTTGTAGGCTCCGGGAGCACACGATGTCCATGGTCAAAGTGAAGGGCGGGAGGTCGAAAGTTGAACATCCAGCGCGATACGAAATCTTGGAGAAGGACCGCCCTCACTCTGTGCACATGTACCTGATCATACGAAAAATTGGAAATACGATGGCTGCAGCGGTGGAGACGGCGATCATCCACACTGTCGACCCCGAAGCCAATGCACAGGTTCGTTTCTCCCCACATCGTCCTCTCCATTCCCGCGTGCTTCCTCGACGTCCCCGTCTCAGACGACCCACTCGCCTCCGACGGTTCGGCCAGAAAGAACATATTCATGAACAAGTTGATGATAGAAAGTTTTGGGAACAACGTATTTCAAGCAGTATCAAAAACAAAGCCAACGAAGACAAAAACAAAACAACAGGGAAATATTGAACCAGGTGCTAAAACAGTCTTATCGTGACGTGTACGCCTTCTTCTTACGCAAATCTCTAACATGGGAGTATGCAGGGTTTGGGCCTCTAGATATGTATGCCGTCTGCTTGTACCACTTGTTCTTGAAGTTTGTCGCTGGGAGTCCGTTTGATGTATGTATGTTGGGCAACCTTCCTGACCAGAAGAGGGAAACATGTAGACTGGCTGTACCACACATGGAACTCGGTAGGATGTTTGCCCCTCAGGCGCGATCGTTCCAACGTTCACCGCAGTCTTCGACACTTTCTTCATTGTCTACACCTCCCCTCCCCTCGCACGCGCATCATCCTAGCACCTACACCTTCATGCGTGGCAGTATTGAGGAACTGGGTACGTGGAGTCCTTGACGCACAATTGGCTGATTATCCCCTCATGAGAAAAGCGGTGCTGAAGGGATTGTTCATTCAAGTAATGCAAATGGAGACCTTCAGGGCGAAAGTATGCAATGCAAAGCGGCAAATATTGAACTTCGATTTGTCCACGCTGTTTTCTTTGGTATCAAACACTGAGTTCCTGACCCATTCGACGAGTGGCGACGACATGCACCGGCTTCCACTGGACGGGCGTACGCTCGTCGGCTGGAGCCCTGAAGATTCACGAAAAAGAATGATTGACAGTTACACTACGTTTTTACATGATCTACCCATAATACATACGTCAGCCTACCAATATATACATGCATACGCCCCCCGATCTCCCACACGGTTGACAGGTTCGTTTCCCGCACAGTCGACAACATCTTGGAGGGGAGGCGGCATGGGCTGACCTTGACAGTGCAGAACAAAGATGCTCATCGTGTTTGGTGTCACTCTCTACCTTGTCTCATGGCGCGCTGGATTACGACGCTGTCAAGGGCACCGGAGAGATGGACAATCTTCAAGCCCAGCCAGGCGTCTGTGATTGCATGGTACCGCCTCCTCTTCGACGAAAGCTTACCAAAATCACTTCGCAGCTGTCGTGGGGAGATTCGCATGTGCAACGTCCCCGCTGCTTATCCTACTGTGAAAGGCAAATGCTGGGATGGATCGGAGCCGCCACAACCCGGCGGCAGGCGAAAATGCCAAAAACATGGGCACAGCTGTTTTCGGAACATCATAAGTTTTGCCACCTTCCCGTGCAAGAAGGTATACAGACGTGTTGGAGAAGCTGTCAAACTTTTGATACGAACGCTCACACCCGACTTTTCTTTTGGCAGTATTGATACGGCACCGGACGAAATACGTCAAGGATTACATCGCCTTGCTCCGCCTCGCACACCAGCAGGCCTTGCGTACCCTACGTGTCTTCTGTGTGGCAGTTGCATGACGGCTCCGGGAATAGTCGTGGCAGACGCCGGCCAGGCGTACGAGGCCATCCCCAGGGAGACGTTAGACATGTGTGTTGAAGAACTCTTTCAAGATGCAGCACAGAAGCTACGCTCTACTACAGTAACAGTTACCCACGACCCTAAACCACATGTATTTCTTGGAGGCTCCGCAAACAAGCAATATGGGGACCGCACGATCTTGTTCTTGAGTACTCTTAGGCAATGTCTTTATGCATATCTCGGCATGCGCGTGTACCGGTTCGCCAACTTTTTCCTCCTCCAAATTGCAGGTGTACCAATTGGGGGGCCATTGAGCGAATGCATTCTTGATTTAGTTTTATCTCGACTAGAATATCGATCTGATCGCCATACTGTTTTCCGAAAAGAGGACATGTTCTGTGGGAGATATGTAGATGATTTCATTGGTATAAGTTTTACACGTTGCAGGTGCTGTCTGGTTAAACGATTACATTCAATTTATGGCGCACACATCAATTTCGAAGTCGATGATTCGATAAAGTACGACAATGGTACTGTTACAGTTAAGTATCTGGATATGGTATTATCAATTACATATACATCAGTAACCATGCGCATGGGACATCCGAACTTTGAATTTGGATTCGCTGGGGGTCCTGCGGCTATCTCTAAGACTTCCCTCCCCTTTTCGTCTGGCCAGGTGCCCCGCTACCAGCTGCAATTGTACCGGGGTGACATACGAGGACGTGTTCGTAGGTGGCGTATTGTGGGAAATCCCACCAGCCCTTTAGGGCGTAGGTGGTCTAGGGAGTTTCCTCTGCCAACCCCCTTCTTCCCCTTCGGGGAGGGGTTTACCCCTCCCCTTACCCCTCCCCACTGACCTGGACGGGGCCGGTCGCGAGGTGTCAGAGCGTCCAAGATGGCCCAAGACAGCTCCAAGAGCGAACAGGCGAGAAAACACAAAACATTGATTTTACCTAGGTTTTGGAAGGATTTTGGCATCTTGGGGGGGCCCAAGAGGCGACTCGAGGCACTCTGGAGGGGCGGGGCTAATAAGCAACCCCCCCTTCTTTGATAGATCTCCTCCAAGATGGCCCAAAGAGCGCCCCGAAGGCTCCCAAGAGCGCCCCAAGAGCGCCTCAAGAGGGCCCCAAGAGACCCCAAGAGGCCCCCAAGAAGCCTCCAAGACGTTGCCAAGAGACCCCCAAGAGGCCCCAAGAGAGTCCAAGATGACCCAAGACGGCTCCAAGAGCGAAAAGGCGAGAAAGCAACAAACATTGATTTTACCTAGGTTTTGGAAGGATTTTGGCCTCTTGGGGCGCCCAAGAGGCGACTCGAGGCACTCTAGAGGGGCAACGCTAATTGGGGACCCCCTCTTCTCTGATCGATCTCCTGCAAGATGGCCCCAAGAGCGCCCCGAAGGCTCCCAAGAGCGCCCCAAGAGCGCCCCGAGAGCGCCCCAAGAGGCCCCAAGAGGCGCCCAAGAGGCCTCCAAAAGGCTCCCAAGAGACCCCCAAGAGGCCCAAGAGGCTCCCAAGACGGGTCCAAGAGCGAAAAGGCGAGAAAACAAAAAACATTGATTTTACCTAGGTTTTGGAAGGATTTTGGCCTCTTGGGGGGGCCCAAGAGGCGACTCGAGGCACTCTAGAGGGGCAGCGCTAATTGGGGACCCCCCCTTCTTTGATAGATCTCCTCCAAGATGGCCCCAAGAGCGCCTCGAAGGCTCCCAAGAGCGCCCCAAGAGCGCCCCAAGAGGCCCCAAGAGGCCCCAAGAGGCCCCCAAGAGGCCTCCAAGAGGCCCCCAAGAGACCCCCAAGAGGCCACAAGAGGCTCCCCGAGATACGCAAGAGGCCCCCGGGACCGCCAAGAGGCCCCAAGGACGGCCCAAGAGGCCCCCAAGCTCGCAATTGTCCTCCTCCTCCTCCTCCTCCTCCTCCTCCTCCTCCTCCTCCTCCTCCTCTTTTTCTTCCTCCTCCCTCCTCCCCCTCCCCTCCTCCTCCTCCTCCTCCTCCTCCTCCTTCTCCTTTTCCTCCTTCTCGTCCTCCTCGTCCTCGCAGTCCTCCATCTCCTCCTCCTTCTATTCCTCCTCCTCCTCCTCCTCCTGCTCCTCCTCCTGCTCCTCCTCTTCTTCCTCCTACTCCGACGACGACGGCTCCTCCTACATCCTCCCCCTCTTGGGGTATATGGCGGCTCACCCCGCCCTTTGTTCTTCTGCATGCTCCCCCGCTTCCCTCATAACCTTCACTCCCCTGGGACTCATTTCTGGACGGGCTGGTGGGGATACGCGAAGCGTCTAGAATTCTCTCATCAACGTGTTTGTCCTCGTGTGTGTGGACATGACATACATGCTGAGATTGGGATACTCTTTTTCGCATATTTCAAAGGTATGGTCGCGTTCTGGAGAGAACCACGTCCAAAACGAGCTTATCATGTTGTGCTTCAAACTCGTCCACCACACGTGCGGCACACTTCGTTGCTCTCATGCCGTCCTCTCCCACCGCATGCGTAATATCTGTGCTCAAACCAGGGAGTTGGCCATAGCTACAACTTCGACGCCTCTGTACGCAGGCACGGCGCAGGGGATGGGATTCCCTCAGAGCGGCCGCGACAACCGCGGCGGCGCCCCACCGCGCCCGCAGTGGACCGGGGCGCCCAGGTACAACCAGCAGTACCAGGCTGTCGGAGGTTTTGTCCCGCCGCCCCAGATGCCGACGCCAGCCTCGACGAATCCATTCACAGCAATGGCGTCCCAAGTTGCAGAGACGATCGGCTCCATCAAAAGCTTGGGTGAGCTCGTGCAGATGAGGGCTGCCCTCATCTCCACGAGCTCACCCAAGCAGCTCTGCAGATGAGGGCTAGGGGCGCGGCAGCAGGCGACGCCCGGCAACCCGGGCAGCTCGAGCGGCGGTGCCGTGGAGGAGCTCGCGCAGGCCATCCACCAGGTGATCGACCAGAGCAAGGTCACCAGTGACTCGCGCCTCAAGCACACGGTCCGGTCGATCGCGGAGATCACGGGCTCCGCAGGAGGGCCGGATATTGTAGAGGACTCCCCGGCATTCAAGAAGCTCAAGACGGACATGCTGGCGCTCCAGACCGAGCAGAAGTCCCAGAGAGGCACCCTCGTGGCCCTCCAGCAGACCGTCGAGAACACGTCTGGTGACATCAAGGACATGAAGATGACGCTCGCCGCGGCCCTGGCGGCGCCGAGCCGGGCAGGCAACCCCGGCCACCACCAGCAGGGCTCCGGTGGGGGCGCCCAGCCTGAGGCCAGGGCCAACGGCGAACCGCTCTTCCAGCCGGAGGTGGACGCAGCCTTGCATTCGGCAGCAGCAGGGGTGCTTGGCATCTCCGCAGACCGCAGGGAAATGGCCGAGCTCGGGGCGAACATCGGGGATGGCGCCATGGGATTCGAGCCGTGGTGGACGAGCGTGATGAAGTTCAAGACGCAGCAGCAATGGGATGCGAAGCTGCAGAACCTGTCCCAGGGGGCCATAGCCCCGGGGACAGCCACGACGAAGGAGGCAGTCGGCGCCATTTTGTACAACCACGTGAACAAGGATGGCACCTGGTCGCAGCACCCGCTCTGGACCCCAGCCCGCACGTGAACCGGAGTGTGGCGAAGAGTCAGAGCGACCTCTCGCGTCTGCCGCTCTTCATGCAATCTGCTCATCATCATAATGGGGTACATGATGTGGATCATTTGCGGTGCCACCATGCCATACTTCGATTGTCTGGGTCTGCTCAGTAATACACTCCCCGAGATGGATGGCTTCGAAGAGTACGTCTACGAGCGCCGCACCAACCCCGGCCAGAGCGGGGAGCCGCCGGAGCCGGGGCATGTGAGCAGTGAGGCGCAGCCTGCCCTGACCCCCTGACCAGCGCCTCCTCTGGTGCCCTCTCCTCTTCCCTCCCCTGCCCCTGCCCCTGCTCCCGCCCCGCTCCCCCCTCTCCCGCCCCCCCGCTGGGCAGACGAGGCAACCCCCGAGACCCGGGCGGTTGTTTCCAAGACAGAGAGCCCGCTCCGTGACGCACCTAACACGGACGCGGCCATCAGAGATGTCATCCACAGTTTCGTATTTGAGGTCAGCATGCGGCTCTGCAGCTGCGTGGTCCAAATCGTTGGCCTCAAATGTTCTTCCTTTCCTGGCCTCTCCCATCCGTACCTCCAACATGGAATTCCCACGCCCGCCCTAGGGATACTTTCAATGAGCATCATGATGTACCTAGGGAGGGGCAGCATGCGCCGCAGGTGAGCACGGAAGGCAGCTTGTGCAGAGTGATTGGGTGCATCATAGATAGCAGCAGTAGTTAGAAGTGGCATGCATGATTATGCTAGTTGCGCATTCTGTAGTTGCTTGGCTCAGGTTTAGGACGTCGCTCAAGGGGTGTCCCGCACATGGCCATGGGTCTGGGCCAAGAGTAAACAGTATTTCGTCCACGAGGAAAAAGAGGAAAAACAACAGGTGAGACCGCAGGGCTGTCCGGTGAGGCCGCAGATCTGTCCATCACATTGTTCTTGTTCTCTTCAGGACAGGTGAGACCGCAGAGCTGTCCGGTGAGGCCGCAGGTCTGTCCATCACATTGTTCTTGTTCTCTTCGGGAAGGGAGGGGACCGAGGGAGGGCGGGAGGGAGGGAGGGAGGAGGGAGGGAGGGCGGGAGGAGGATGAGGAGCGCTCGAGCTTTTCGACGAGATCCGAATGCCCAGGGTCTCTTCTGCGAGCTCAGGGTCTCCTCGCTCGCCAAAAAATACTTTACAAACCAAACAATTCCTATTTTACAAACAATCAAGCAGTGTGTTTTGGCCGCGCCTGGCGCCGTCCAAGGCGAGCCTCCCCTCCTCCCCGAGTTGCCCGAGCCCTCCCCTCCCCTGGGTTCTCCTCCCCTCCCCTCCCCTCGTGTCCTCTCCTCCCCCCATGCCTCCTGCCCCGCTCGTCCACGCTCCTTCGCTCCTCCCCCCCTGCTCCGCTTACCCCGCTCCCGCCCTCCTCCCCCTTCCCTGCCTCCCCTCCCTCCTCGCCCTCCTCGCCCTCCTCGCCCCTCCTCCTCCCCTCCCCTCCCCTCCCTCCTCCCCCTTGTCCCCCTCTCCGTCCGCCCCCCCCGCTCTCCCCCCGCACCCCTC